CCTTATTGAATTGCTGAGAATACTCAAATAAAATTAAACGAAATCTTTGGACTGGTTTGGAAAAAAATATATATAATTTTCGTGCGAACTTCACTTTTTCAGAATATCCTACATCAAGTACGCTCACCACAAAAAGTTTGGAAAGCCAAGATATTAAAACGGAAATTAACTGATGGAAGTACTAATGTAAGAACTGAGAAATGGTTAATTGGTGTTCTTTGCTTACTGATAAACCGATTTATTTGTCCTCCTACAATGAACACAAAACAACATAAAATTGGTCTTCAAAGAACAATCATGTTATCGGTGTGCATACATATCCCGTGCTTTATCTTTTGATGCTTCAATTTCATATGTTTATCAACACCTCCTTAATCTTAATCCTTAATCCTAGAAAGCGTTTCAAACTACATCAATACGTCTATAAGACAGTTATCAAACAACACAAATAACAAAATAACAAACAAAAAATAGAGGTCAACATACAGTCGCCCACAATAGATTTCTACAAATGAATTAACTGTACACACATAAATTGTTAAGCTTTTTTTCTATCATTGATAATAGGGTACGTGAAACCCTAATTGTTGGCGTTTTCATGTAGTACACTAATTACGGTCAACCTGCCTACTTCAAATCGCATATTTTACCACAATGTTGCAATAAGGAAGAATGTCAGATCTTTTGTGACTTGAATATTTTCGACTTAACGTAGCTTTAAAGGCAATTGAAATACGTAATTATACAACCATGCATAATATTTGCAAAATTTTTCCAACCTCTAATTTATGTATATTTCAATGATATTGTGTCCAATCTACAATTGTAGCAGTAGTTATAGTAACCCTAGCTGTATATCTCAAAAAATGTATTAACTATTCTGCTTTTTTCAAAATATTTTATCATCGGATTCTCATGTTATTGTGGGTATTGATTTGGAATACTTATGTTTACAGCAAATGTACTCTGGATAATGTATATTTGAGCCATGTAAATTTGATTTTGTCAAAATGCAATTACAAAATTAAATATTTATTTGTATTTCATTGCTAATTTAACTTCCAAATGTGACGATAATCATAACTTCCAGTGCATAATATTTTATGCATATTCAAGACGAGTACACATTATTAATTAAAACACAAGGTACTACGTTCTGCAAATTGCCTTGACTGGTTGAAGGGTGAAGATTTTAGACTGCCATTTGTAAATGAGGGTACGTTGGATAAGGAAAGATGATCATATTGCAGCAAATTATCAACGGAGCTGTCAAAGAGTTGTTACAATGGTTCTTTAAATGGTAAAGAGCGAGATACTTTCCCTAAATGCGGCATCAGATTTAACTGTGCCAATCGATTGGACATGACGGCGTATTTTATACATCACACCCAGCCAAACGAATGACCCTTGCGCGAGAGTATTACCCATCAAACAGAGAAACTGCAATGGGATCTATTTTCATACACCAGGTCAACATCAAAATGTACGACAATTTAAATATTATACGTTAATTAGATTGAACCTAAACTGGAAACGTTTCAGTCAATGAAAAAAGAGGACGTGGTATGAATGCCAATGATCGAGACAACGTTTCACTACTTTGAGACTTAAGGACATAACGATACAGTTTTGATTCCACGGTGATTTATTTAGGAAAATTTGCATACAAGCTTTTTTTTTACCTAGAAAATTCAAATATGTAATAAAAAATATACCTTCATGTGCTAACTTTAGAGATAAATGGGGTCGAAATTTTGGACACTTACTTAAAATTTCGGTTTCTTGGACATTTCAATCCTTTGGACAGATATACTTAACTTTTTTGTTTCAGAAGATAAATACATGAGGATTTTTGTAATATGATTTGGAATATCTTCCTTACAAAAGTAGGCCCTTAATTTGTGTGACAACTCTTTTTAAATAATTCATTTTTATTAAATTCTCATGATTTTAGAAAAAAAACGGCTTTTTTTGCTGTATATTTATCTAATTTAAAACAATGTCATCGGTGATTTTATCATAGAAATTGGAACAAATAATCTTCATACAGTATCAAGTCAAATGTCATTTTAAAAAAGAGGGATCCATGTACTCGTTTTAAAGCTAATGATTAATATCCCTCGAAAAATGCATCGTTTCTCGATATGTCGCTGTTTGACGTCGCGAAAATTACATTTTACGTTAGCAACGTCATTATCTTCCCTGTAACTGTATCTTATGCCATAAAGGCCATAGATGTGAATAATAGTTTTTGCAGGTAACCGTACGGCCGTCAATAATGAGAACAACTCATACTGTTTAGTAAGCTAAATGGGGCCCCGAGATATTAAAATGTAAAACAATTCAAAAGCGAAAACTATGCCTGATTTATTTTGCACCAAAAAACTGGTAAAATACAACCAACAACAACCACTGGATTTTAGGCTCCTGGTTTGAGACAGGCGTGGGATTAACCATTGTGTGTGCACTCAAACCTCCCCTTTACATTGGGTAGAGGTTAACAACACTGCATGAGAGCAAACTGTATAAACCAACTAGAAAGGGTTACGCTCATTAGGTCTGTGTAAATCACCAAGTAAAAAAAAAAACAAAACAGAAAACAAAATACAAAAAGAGCCCATCTAAGAGTATTTGCAGTAACTAAAACCGTGTTCAAGCCCAATTTCAAGTACAGTCATAGACAAGTAATGATTGCAACAGTATGCTGTTACGAAGTCTCCCAAACAAAGTCCCTTAGAACCTTAAAATACCTTCGTTTATCGAACAATTATACACATCATTTGGGTGTCCCTTTACCAACAGGTTGAGGTAAAGTAAGCCTTTTAATCCTGTTTTATAATTTGTTCTTATGTTTTACAGTTACACCACTGTGCTGGGTCGGGGAAGGGTTGCGCCAGGAATCATGTTTAACCCCGCCACATTCTGTATGTGCCTGTCCCAAGACTGGAGCCTATAATTCAGTTGTAGTCGTTTGTTGCTTTATTTCATATTTGCTTTTCCTTTATTGTCTTGTACATAAATCAGGCCGTTATTTTTCTCGTTTAATTTTTTTTATATTTGTCATGTCGGCCCCTTTTAAAGCTTACTATGCGGTATGGGTTTTGCTCATTGTTGAAGGCCATAGCTGTCAACTTTTACGTCATTTGGTGGAGAGATGTCTCATTGTCAATTATACCATTGATTATATTTTCTTATTTTTATAAGGGACAAGTGTCTTACTATCTTGTTTAAAGATGGAAAAATAAAAAAAGTGTATTCTCCGTTGGGCCAAATGATACAGAAAAACTCTTTTTACTTTACAGTTTAAATTCAAAAGTATTTTATGCTGTTTACTTGTACTGATGTTTTTCTCCTTTTTTGTCCTCGTCTTTGTCTTTGGATGATTACAATGTACCTTGGTCTTGTATTTGCCTTAGAGATTTTCGGCTTGCGGTTTATCATTGTGACAAAGTCGATTCGATTCGGTACAATTCTAATCTTTTCTTCAATTACAGTATTTCATACCAGCATATATTGTATATGTTTGTTAGGCTTGATATATAAAGGAACAACATATCGCACGAAAAGAAGAAACCAACGCATATTTTGACAAATTAGCACAAATAAACTTTTTCTTTTCCTGTAGTAATAATGTCAATTAAGACTTTTTGTCGTATAAACACAACGATTGAAATGATTTTCTAATAAAAGAAGACGTCATATGGTACACGTGTTCTTAGTTCTATAAAAGTTCTATAAATAAAGGGAAAGCTAAGTTCATCTGAGTACGTGTGTATAGATTTTCATGTGGATTTAATCCGCTAGTATTTAGGAACACCGTTTGTATTAATCAGATGTTACTGTTTTTATTGCCCTTCTTATACAATAAGTAAGGATTTTTTTTATATACTGAAATTTTCCATATTGTCTTGTTGTATACAAACTTTTGGCTATTTATATAATTATACCGGAATTGTATACCGGAATCTTTTTGCTATTTAGGTGTCAGACCATCAATTCCACCAACTCCAATTTAGAACATATAAAAGTAGCCCTTCCCTGACAAAAAATAGTGCTTTTGATGTCATCGTTTACTTAAATTACCTAACCATCAAATTTGCACAAATGAAACTTTTGGTGAAAGAGAAATATATTTAGACCATTTTGAGCCAAAATTTACTTGTCCATGAGTTTAAATTTGCATTTAAAATTGAGGATTAATGCGCTCCATAGTATAGGTCCATAGTATACTTATTTAAGATTTCCAGAAAACCAGGGGTAATTTTTAATAGAATTTGCACTCCGAACGGTCGTGTTTCATTACAAGACTTTAAACTTTGGTTGAAAATAGGCATGCAGAAAGGTGATACATGTACAATTCAGGATATACCTGGTCATGTTGATTTATATGTTGATCTTATCTTGCTGATCATTTTAGCTATTAAAAGTTTCTAGATATCAATTATAGTTTCAAAATAAAAGGCACGAAAAGAAATTGTTAAAATCCGTCATTTGAGGGCAATAAGATATTTAACAAGTCGTCTGACAATTTTGATGTGAATAAACAATAGGCAGATCTCAACATTCTGAACATTTTTGCTCCCAACAGATTTTTTCTATTTATAGCAATATTTAAAATAAAAGACAAAACTTGCATTTTACATCTATGTTCTATTTTAGCCATGTCGGCCATGCAGGTTGGCAGAGTCATCGGACACATTTTTTAAACTATATACCCTAATGATGATTGTGGGCAAGTTTGGTTAAATTTGGCCTAGTAGTTTCAAAGAAGAGTTGTTTTATTTTGTAAAAGTTAACAGACGACGGACGCAAAATGATAATAAAAGCTTACTTGGCTCTTTTTGAAAGTAAAAAAAATCAGATAAAAAAAAACCATTATTCCATATACAATTTCTAATAAGCACAAAAAGAAGTGATAAGTGTCAATATATTTTAATATCTTAACGGTGCCTGACATGTCCTTTCTTTATTCAATAATTATTAACAAACGCAATAATTATTCATGTTTCTATGATCTGACAACAACCAATTCTTTCACCAGCATTTCCGGTTATCAAACTTTCTGCATTCCCCCCTTTTCCTAAATCATCAGCGTCGGTATGGATCTACAACATTATACCAAAGATATTTAAAATTGAATTTTTAATTTACATTCTACACGATTCAAATCTAGCACAAAGTCAATGTGAACACATTTCTTTAATATTTTTAAACATTAAACATTAAACTATATATGTACAAAAGTTAATGAAGGCTTATGCATCTTATAGCATATTTTGCAATATTATATTAACATAATATAATTAAAAACATGAGCATCCTGGATTACAGTATAAAGAAAACAAATCAGAATGTAAAAAAAATAGATAATGATCCTTTGAAAAGTTCTGGATCTGTTTGCTCTAAAAGAGTGCATGCATTTTTTTTACTTGGGGAAAAGGCTGAAAATATCTCAATCAGTGTGCAAATTCCGATGAAGTAACAAAGCTCCGATGATTAAAAGGAATCTTTTCATTTCTTTTCCACGATCGTTCCTTTTCACCTCATTGTAAAAGATTTAACCGTTTAATTTCACATTACATAAAAATCGTGTGTAGGCATTTTGATAGTTCAGACGAATTATAAAGTGCCTCCATAAGTGTTTCTCGTTTCTCGTTTTTTATATAGATTAGACCGTTGGTTTTCCCGTTTGAATGGTTTTACACTAGTAATTTTTTGGAGCCCTTTATAGCTTACTGTTCGGTGTGAGCCAAGGCTCCGTGTTGAAGACCGTACTGTGACCTATAATGTACTTTTATAAATTTTGACTTGGATGGAGAGTTGTCTCATTGGCACTCATACCACATCTTCTTATATCTAAACACCATCTTTAGTTAATGTTTGCAAAAACTGCATGTCCTCTAATGTTAACCATGTTAAAGTTTTTGCATTAATGGCATGCATACAGGATATTAGTTTATAATTACATACTGCCTTTTTCATAGACTCTTTATAAATTTATTTTAATTCAATTAATTGTGTATAATTGTTTGCACGTTACACAAATGAACTGAGAAATTAATTTTGTCTACCATATATACCGACGTGTGCATATTAATAACACAATTCAATTGTACATCATGGCAATTCGTGCTCCAAGATTATTCCAATGCAAATAAAGTATCTCTATGGTTCTACGAAGACTGTGTACTTATGGTAAAATAATTAATAAGTATTCTTTAAATTTGTTTTGGTTTCTTTTTTCAAATGTAAACGTTTGTTAGTTGTATGTTACCACTAAAGATCTGTTCAGGATTGAAAGGTCTGAAGTTTCTTGTAAACTGATCATTGAATCGTTAATGTAAACATCAGCTATTCCCCACATGTTGGCCTTGACATTTCCAAGACTTCCAACATGGCGCTCGTGATCATGAGGTGCTCCATGAGTTTTATTCAATGGGTTAAATTGAGGACCTACACTACTACAATCTACAAATTTTGATGAATACATTATTCTCTAATCCAACATTAGATAAAGAAATGTTTACTATAAAATTAGAATAGTTGCAATACTCATCAACATAATTATAAATAAAGATAAAAGGTTACCAACGAGAAAATATGAACCATAAATCGAGGAAGAAAACACCTTGACCAAATGAAGTAGACGTAGACGGAAAAACAACCAGCACACATCAAATATCTGCACTCAAAACTAAAAATTGAGCAACACAAAATATGATTGACAAGGACTATATCGTGTGATTGCTTAACACACGACATCATTTTTTTTAAATTAGATTCGGATGCAACGTTTTCATTATAAAACAAAAAAATAATACATACATATGGAATGCCACAGCAGTCTTATGTGGTACTCAGATATTACGTTATTTTGTTTTATTATTACTTGATGATATTTTGTCTTTACATAATATGGTTTTGACATTACGTAATGATGTTTTGATATAACTCAATATGGAATAGTCATTACTTAATGATATTTCGATTTTACGTGATATGGTTTCGTATTGACTTGATATGGTTTTTTCATTACTTAATATGGTTTTGTCATAACTCGATGTGGTTTCATCATTATTTAATGTGGTTGTGTCATTAAGCAATGTGGTTTTAACATTACTTGATGTGTATGTGGCTTAACGTTATGTATTTGTTTCATTACATGATGTGGTTTTGTTATTCGTAATGATGATTTGCCAAGTCTTCATATGGCTTTAACATTACATAATGATGGTTCAAAATTTGACGATTTTACACAACATGATGTGTTTGTTCCTGTATTTTATGTGGTCCTGTCATTCTTAATGTGGTTATCACATTACTTGATGAGGTAAAGCCACGTGACTTGGAAAAAAATTAGTTCTATTTTTAGACCGATTTCCATATGTCGTTTGTTTAATGTGCTTCGGATGAGTGTCACTACCCATTGAGTTGAAGTTCAAATAAAGTTCGAGTTGTTGTTCAGAGTTATTTGGTATGAAAAAGAGGAACGGCAGACAAAAATAAGAAAAAAAGTACAAACAAATTTCAATATTTCGGACATAAGGGGGATATCCCCAAACCACATGGTCCTGCCGTTTTTTTTCCCTTAGTTCTCAAAAGGAAGCAGTATTACAATAAATTCATGAAGAATTCCACGGAACCCTGTGTCTCGCCTGAGATTGCTGCTGTCATTGTAAAAGTGTAATGTTGACTGTAAAACGTCCATTTATCGGTAAAAAACAAAATTAAAAAAATTGTTTTTCTGTACATGCTTTATCTCGATATAGAAGATTAACTCCTATACAAGTTTAATAACAATTCATGGAGGTTTACAAATTTATCATGACAAAATAGTTTGATTTGGTAATATTTAATGCAAATAAAAATAAGAAGATGTGGTATGATTGCCAATGAGACAACTCTCCACCACATACCAAATGACGTAGCAGTTAACAACTATATGTCACTGTATGGTCGTAAACAATGAGCAAAACCCATACCGCATAGTAAGCTATAACAGATCCAGAAACGACAAATGTAAAAACAATTCAAACGAGTAATCTAACGATCTAAATGATGAAGACGCCGACGACGGAATATAGGTTTGTTGTGTCTCACTTCCGCGACATTAATATCGCAGGCTGGACACACATCAAATGACTTGTACTTTATTGTCAACACATGAGACACTTTAAATCAACTCACACTAAAGTTTCAGGGAAATGGGGGGCTCGCACTAAGCGACAAAGCATCAATTCAATAAAATAAGAATTCTACGATTTTTTCTTAGCGTGTATTATCATTTGAACATGTACGAATATCAATCTTTTAATATATATTTTTATAAATTCGATTCTCTGATATACCTCGCACTTAATAGAAAAAAAAAACTTAACTTTTTAGAATATCTATTTCACAGGTGACGACGGATATGTTCCAGTTGTCGTTACCACAATCCCGTCCTCTTTTCCTCGAATGTGACCTACCAAACTAGACCAAATCACTGGGTTTGTACTTTCACGAATAACACGACGGGTGCCACACGTTGAGCAGGATCTGCTTACTCTTCCGGAGCACGCGAGATCACCCCAGGATTTTGATGGATTTATATTGCCCAGTCATACCGATCTATAGAGTTAAGCCAATTGCATCTGATTTTTACAGTTTATTCTTGTGTTGTGTTGTTACACTATTCACCCATGGTATGGTTAGGGTTTAGCGCTCACAGACATGTTTAACATTCTTTATGTGCCTGTCCCAAGTCAGGAGCCTGTAATTCAATGGTTGTCGTTGTTTCATGTGTGTCATTTTTGTTTTTCGTAAGTTGTTTAGTTATTAGTTACGGGTGCCTATAATTGCTTACATCCACTGCATTAAAACTCTGGTGGATAGTTGTCTCATTGGCAATCACACCACATCTAACTTTATTTCGATTTATATGTTGTGTTTTGTATACTGTAACATTGTTTATCTTTTGTACGCATACCCCTTAACCCTTTTTTCAGAAGCCCGAGCAAAAGCCCTTGATTCGCGATAGAAAATTTAAATACGAACTCGTATTAGATAACTCCAATTTCAACTCGAAATATTAATCTAAATGAGACTCAAATTCGAAGTCTAACTCGAACTTTACCTCAAAAGGTAACTCAAACTCGTAGTTCAACTCGAAAGTCAATGCTAACTCGAACTTTAATTCTAGTTATGACTTGAATTCTAACTCGAAATCGAAAATTACTCGAAGTTTAAATAGAAGACTAACTCGAATTTTAATTCGAACAGTAACCAGAACTTTAATTTGAACTCTAACTCGATGGATTGCCACACTCATCCGAGGCAAATAAAACATGGAAATCGGTTTTAGAAATAGTTTTTCCCAAATAGTCACGTGGTTTTACCTCATCAAGTAACGTGATAACCACATCAAAGAATGACAGTACCACATCAAATACTGGAACGAACACATCATGTAGTGTAAAATCGTCAAATTTTGAAACATCATTTTGTAATTTTAAAGCCATATAAGACATTGGCAAATCATCATTACGAAATAACAAAACCACATCATGTAATGAAACAACTACATTACGTTAAGCAACATACACATCAAGTAATGTTAAAACCACATTGCCTAATAACACAACCACATTAAATAATGATGAAACTACATCGAGTAATGACAAAACCATATCAAGTCCATAAGAAACCATATCATGTAATATCGAAATATCATAAAGTAATGACTATTCCATATTGAATAATATCAAAACATCATTACGTAATGTCAAAATCATATTATTTAAAGACAAAATATCATCAAGTAATAATAATACAACATAACGTAATATCAGAGTACCATACAAGACAGCTGTGGCGTTCCATACATACATATTAATATTGATTTTGTTGTCAGTAAATTAAAATCAAATTAAATATTATTTTTTATACATAATTATGTACATTCATGGCTCTACCTACAATATGTCGATACCTGTATCTTGGCATTGCTTTTCTCTGACTGTATATGACGTCTTTACACTAAATCCATTGGATGGTGGATGTGTACTAATTGATATGTTAGTCTTAGATGCATGATTTTTTCTTATTAGTTGTTATTGGCTCTGAACTAGCTCTCAATAACTGTGAGTACTCTCAGATCTGTACTTAGTGCCTTTTTTTGTTGTGGGGATGTATAAGTACCCTGCCAAGTCTAGTCTGTGTTTTTGTTAGATGTCTTTTTGCTTTGTATCGATCTGATGAGTTAAGTCCTTTTCAACTGATTTTGATAGTTTGTTTTTATGTTGTACTGTTACACCACTTTCACAGGTTAGGGGGAGGGTTGGCGCCTTCAAACTAGTTTAACCCCGCCACATTCTGTACTTGCCTGTCCCAAGTCAGGAGCCTGTAATTCAGTGGTTGTCATTTGTTGCTATTTATCATATTTTTTTTGCGTTCATTATTTTGTACATAAATTAGGCCGTTAGTTTTCTTGTTGAAATGGTTTTACATTTGTCATTTCGGGACCTTTGATAGCTGACTATGCGGTATGGGTTTTGCTCATTGTTGAAGGTCGTACGGTGACCTATAGTGTTTAACTTCTATGTCATTTGGTCTCTGGTGGAGAGCTGTCTCATTGACAATCATACCACATCTTCTTATTTTAATATGTAACAAAAAACTCTTGTCACTTCTCTTCTCTCTTCCAAATAGAATCCTTCTTTGTTAAACAATCATGAATGCCTTAACATTAATGGTACCAATTTTACTGCACGAGATGTGCACTTCGACAAGAAGTATATCTCTTCAGTGATGCTCAAGGCTAAAACTACAGTAACAAAGTAAGCTACAACTTTTGACCGACCCTAGCTATAGGTTAAATTTTTATTTCAAACAAAATAAGTAGATGTCTGATACTGACCTTACACATGGGACGATTTAGAGTTAGAGCTTGATATGTCGTTTATACAAATAACTGCATGAGCTAGCTAAACAAACCACTATATCCTATGAGGGACGTACGTCCCGAAGGAAAAATATTACAAATAGGAGGTTTATAGCTTGCTATAAAACCAAGTTTAACCCACCATTTCATCCGGAAAATGCCTGTACCAAGTCAGGAATATGACAGTTGTTTTCCACTCGTTCCGTTGGTTGTTTACGTTTGATTTGGTCAGTTTTTATGGACTTCCCCTTTTTGAATTTACCTTGGAGTTCGTTTTTTTTTTTGTTATATTTTTTTACAGGAATAAAACAATTTGCACCTTCCCCGACTTTATGTCGCGAAGGAATACACAACTTCTAATACTTACTTTCAGTTGGCTAACGTCTCCATTTGTATGGACATGAAAACCGTGTAATCCACGATGTAGTCCGTCAATAATCCCCCTTATCAACACTCCTGGTTTGCCATACTGTAAACAAAATTTTATCCTATACAAACTTGTAAACGAAAAGTTGCTATATAGTGTAGTTTAATTTGCATGAACTATTTATGTGCCGAATCTATATCTA